CATTGCTTCAGTTGAGGTATCTCGTGTGCACCCCAGGATTGCCCTCATTCCTTCATTTTGTAACACCTCGAGTCGTTGCAGTTGCGCCTTTGATAGGGTCAAGAGTCCGAGCCCGTACTCTACGACAGAGAGTACCAATGTCTGGTAGAGGATGACAAGGATTTTCTGGCTCATCTTAGCTCTGGCCATCATCTTAAGGGAAAAAGCCCTTAGGAAAGATCTACGGCTGGCTTTCAGGGACATTAAACGCGAAAAATCTCGGAGGTCCCGTGTGCAAGTTGCGCACGTTAAAGATCCGTCGCTGGTCCCACATCAATTAAAGGCCACCAGGGCAAAATTTCAAATTCCCTACCACCTGAAAATGTTTAGTGTGTCCCGAGCGCTCATATGACATTATGCAGTTGCGAGCGCCGTACACTTAGATCTAGATCTAGATCTAGACATACAAAAAAATACTATTCTTACTCAAAGAAATCTTAGTTTTAGGTTGCATTATGTTAGAAGAGCCTACACTGATAGAATAAACAGAGGATTTTTTTCTCTAATAATACATGAACAGGTATAATATTTGAAAAGCAATATCCGAGAGTTAGTCGTCTCTCAAACTTTTGTACGTTTTTTTTCTAAATTAAGTCATACTCATCCAACCCAATATTTCAAATTAATTAGAAAGAAGAACGGCTACTCCTAGATTTTCTTCAAAAGTTATCGGTCCATTGGATGTGGAAAGTAAACACAAGAAAGTCCGAGGTGTGTCACAAAATTGGTAAGTACTTGATGAGTAACCAACCTTTCTGTAGCATGAAAACTAAACTCTTTTTTTAAATCATAAAAGATGTACATCTCTGCTGTACTAATTTTACTTTAAAGTTTGTTCATATTTCGTTCTAGATTCTAGATCTAGAATCTAGATCTACTTTCCATTTTCGCGCAAGACAAAAATAAGACTAAGTACTAAGCCCTAGGCCACTACTAAGCTGCACCAGATCATTACTCATCTCGCACTCAACTGTGCCGAAGAGGATACAGATCTAAAACTACATTTCTACCTGTCCAGTAGATGTAAATGCAGACCAAGGAGCACTATTCGTCTGTTAAATGCATTTAGAGCTGTTACAGTCGACTTAATATATATGGTTTGTTTAGATTTTAAAAGGCAGGCTCTCTTTGCAAAGCCAAAGCGGCTTTCTGATAGCTCCCACTCCCGACCCCGTGCTTTTAATTTAGATTACTAGATCTAGATCTAGATCTAGATCTAGATCTAGAAGAATACAATAATATTAGACTAATTATATTTATCTATTCGGACTGGAGTCCGAATATAGGTTTTATCTAGATCTAGATCTAGATCTAGATCTATTCGGACTCGGTCGCGAAAAAAATGTTTTATTTTTTCGGACTCAGCCTCAGATCTAGAATCTAGATCTAGATCTAAGTGAGTTTTATAATTATAAATGTGAGTGTAAGGAGGTTACGTGATCTACCGTCGGGGGATTTTACGTAAAACCCGAGAATTGCCTACTAGGACTGTGGGTGATCTTGTAGTTCCGTTCGTTGTTGTTGTTGTTGTTGTTGTTGTTATCGATCCAGCAACATCTGGGCTCTCACCCTTCTGTCCAATGCCATGTAGTGATAAGTGCAGGTTTGCTGCAGTTGCTGTAATGTTCCGTAGAGTGTGTTGTAGAAGTTAGGTCTCGGAGGGAGAAGGGTAGCTCTGATGTCATTTAGGGCTGTACAGTGGAAAAGGTGATGTTCCACTGTCTCATATATGCATGGCATAGTCACACAAAGGACACATTGGGGGAAGTTCTGGTTTTATTCTGTTCAAGTGAAAGTTGAGCTGTATATGTTCTGTTCGTAGGCGGAAGATCGTGGTCTGTTTCTTTCTCTGTAGGTGGTTGATATTGTCATTTCGTTTTGTTGTAGTCATATGTTTGAAAACTGCTCTGCCTGTCTTTCCCAAGGCCCATCTGTTCATCCAATCTTGTTTGCTGTTGCTTTTAATGATTTGTTTTGCAGTGTGGTATGAAGTTGGAATGTTGGGTTGTTCCTGTCTAGATCCCCTTTTGGCGAGTGTGTCTGCTCTGTCATTTCCAGGTATGTTTGAGTGTCCGGGAATCCACTGCATCACCAGGTTGATGCCACAGAATGTTATCAGATGATGGGAGCCAAACAGTATATGTGTCAAGTCTTCGTTTAGATGGTGATCATTTTCTATCGCTTGCAAGACTGATAGTGAGTCAATGAAGATCACTATACTCTGGCTTTTGTTTGGATGAGTGTCAAAAACTGTGCGGAGATGGTATAGTGCTGTTTCAATTGCTATCATTTCTGCGTCGTAGTTGTTGCATTTCTCTCCACAGGCTGCAGAGATCTCATTGGAACTTCCATCTGGGTACTGTATTAGTATTCCATATCCGGCTTTGGTTGTGCCTTTGAATGCTGAGCCGTCTGTATAGACGTGTATCCAGTCATCTGAATAGCTGTCGATTGTTTGGTGTGAAGAAAGCATCAACTTCACTGGGTCTGAAGATTTTGTGCTATTGTCTCTGAGAGAAGTTTTAATGATTGGTTTTTCCATAGAAATGTGGGGAGGGATATTTTGGTTGACTCTTTTGGTTTCTCTTTTGTTTTGTGGTAGGTGGTGGCTCTCCATTAGTTCTGTGATGCGATGCGTGACTGATTTTTGTTGAAGTCGTTTCTTTGGTTTCCATGTTTCTACTAATTTCCTGTTTGGGTGGTTGGGGCACATTCTTTTTGTTCTTTCATGAAGCTCCAAAACTGCTTTATCTCTGCGTATTTCCAGGGGTTCAACATTTGACAGAATTTCACATGCGGCAGTAGGTGTAGATCTCATGCCACCATTAATGAAACGAAGGGCATTATTTTGGACTTTGTCAAGGGTATTGCAAGTAGTTGCACTACACATAGTGAGTAGGGTTCCGTTCGTTAAAGTCCACGATCCATTGTTTACATCCAGAGAAGAAATCCAGAAGTCTTGATGACCAAGCCAAAAATGTATACTATTTGAAATAGGCTACACAAAGAGCAGGGATGCAACCTGTTGTAATATCATTTGGCCTCTTTAGGCAAGAGCGCCTGGCTTATAAATATGTTTGGCCTAGGTGGCAACTTTTGATAATTGGAATGGCGACTGTCATGTCACATTTAAGTTTGTCTGAAAGTTCCCACAGTCGTTCCTGTGTTTATTGACATGGACAGCTCACAACACAACCTAACTGCAATTTTAAAACATCAAATTAGGATAAAAACAACCCCCCTACTCGTGACTTTACTTTAACGAACGAAACCACAAATTCGACTGACTGTGTAATTTTATGTCAAAAGTCAAAAGACTGCATTCTCATTAGATCTACCCAATGGCAATGTCTTAGTAGGCCTACACGGTAACCGACAACTCAGAGTCTAAACTTTCCGCCACACTACAGCATCATCATTACTTCCACCACCATTTGTCTTTCCACATATTTTTAAATTTAATTTTTTTGTGTGTTAGGCCTATAGTTTTTCTGTAATTATATTTTCTTAATAAAATCACATCGCACAAAACCGACAGCCGTGGCCTATTCCCAACCCCTCTTCCCCCAGCAAGCTGAGAGTGCAAGATCGCTATGCGCAGTCTCATTTGCCGACTTAATTAACTTTGCCCACGGCAAGGTCAACTCAACTTATTTGTTCTGTTCATACTAATGATGCAGGGAGAGCCAGTTTAGATGGATCTAGTATATGGATAAAAGCTCACGTCTCGATTGTTATCATTATAATCGAAAAAATGGGAGGACTTCCGTAACGAGCGACCACTATGAGACAGAGTAGAACAGAGGGGCAAGGGGTAGGGGTATGGTTTGTGGTAGGGTTAGGGTTTAGGTTAAGGGTAGGGGTAAGGGTTAGGTTTGGGGTAGGCTTTGGGTTTGGTTTGGATAGGGTTAGGGTTAGGTCTCTTCTTTGTTGTAGTGTTTGTTGGGGTGGTTGCCTGTTAGGGAAGTCCTTCCGAAAAAATTTGCATTTATGCTGAAAATGTTTAGGAACAAGGGTCGGAAGTGACGTCATGCCGAACTCAATTCAGAGTTCGAATATAATTTTTGTGTATTCGGATTTTACCGAATAGTCACCTCGTTTTAAAAATGAACTGTGTTGTCCAGGATACACTAGTGGATAGTTAGAGAACGTTAGGAGTATGCTATGCTATTGGCCGATATTTATGGTAACAGCTTTCGATCTGGTTTGACCTATTCTTTGACATACATAATATAGGGCCGGCTCTATTTCTCCAGATGCTCGGGAAAATAAACTTGAACTCTATTTCTCCGAACGGTTTCCCCGTTCTCGAGATTTTTTGGCTATTTGTGAATGGAATGGACCGCATGCATGCGCCCGCATGTGTATGTGTGAGTGTACGTGCGTGTTCGTGTGTGTGTTTGTGTGTAAAGTGTGAAAGGGGGGGTTAGTCTTTGCTTTAGGGGTAACTAAATGCAAAAGGTTACTGCCAAAGTCGAGCAGTCTTGTTTTCTCGCAGTTCCTTTTGAAGGCATTTCAAATGCAGTATAGTTCGGGAACGTTGCCCCAACCAAGTAAAGTTTAAGTAAGTTAGTGCAATTGAAATATCTGAATATTCAGACCTAAAAATCTCTAGCTCTAGACATTGAATTCGATGCAAAAAATGCTTCTTCCCAGTCCTCGCAGAATGGCAGAATGAAAGATGATGCCGAACTCTCGCAAATAACTAAAAATCTTGATGAGAACGGAAACCGTCCGGATAAATAGAGATCAGGTTTTTTTTCCAGAGCGTTCGGAGAAATAGTAATTTCGATAATATAATGAGCATTATCGTAACACTTACCTAAAGTGAAAAAAAAGCTTTCTTTTGTTACTCTACTTTTTTTTTCAGATCAGACAGTGAGACGTCTTTTGTCAGAATGAAGAACTCTATTTTATGACACAAACAAGATGGCTGTTTCTATAAATATTGGCCAATGGCAAATACTCCAACCATTCTCTAACTATCTGCTTGTGTCTAGGAAAATAATATTCTGTCTTAGTATCTAGTTTTCTATTCTCTATAGAGGCCTATATATGTCATACTGTCATATTAATTTAAATTATAATATATTGTGAATTTTATACACCAAGTTTTATGACTAAAAGAGAGAGAATAAAGCCTGATGCAGATACATCTTTTATCCTCTTAAAATTTGGTTGATCTTTTCTGGACCTCAGAAAAATTTAATTTAAAATTTCCCTTGAATCTCTTGGCAGTTTATATCTATGCTTTGGCCTAAACTTAATTATTGGAGGAATTCCATTACGAGCGACCACTATGAGACAGAGTAGAAAAGAGGGTTAGAGTTAGGGGTAAGGGCTTGGGTTGGGTCTCTTCTTTATTCAATTGTTTTTGTTGGGGTGGTCACTCGTTACCGAGGTCTTTCCTTAAATTTAAATTATAGATCTCTAACTCTAAGTAGACTAGTATGTTTACAATTCTTACAGATGATCAGCTGGAGACATCATGTTATTTGCCAGCAATCTCAGATTTTAGCTTTTTTTTTTTTTCCTTCTAGATCTCATATTTTCTTTTCTTTTTCTGATTTTTCTGTAGTTCATCAAAATGACCTCAAAGCTGTTGAGACAGCCATCTCTTAGTCTCACTGCTGCCACATCTGATCCCAGTAAGAGGATTGGAATACTTGCTGATTATGGCTCCCAAGTTGAAGTGGACAAATCTCTAGCTGTGAAGCTTTACTTCAGGTCTGGGAGAGAGGTCCTGAGAATGGCCAATATGTATTGTGATGATGGACAACTGGAAAGTGCCTTTATCTTGTATTACAAGTTTATCACGTAAGTGACACTGAAATTCTTCAACAGTTGTAGTACGTAGATTTTGCATTTTAAACCTAGTAGTAGTAAAATAAATATCAATGAACTTTTAGAAATGAGGGAATTTAGATTTATTTAAATTATCTTATTAGAATTACTCCATGGATGATATTCAAAAAGACGATAAATATGTCTTGATGCTCCAAGGGTGTAGTGTTTCAGTAGCATGATAACAAAAAATATCTTGTACTAGCTGGAAAATAAGCAGAAATAATGCTGCTTAAAAGAACAAATATTTGCAAGTATATATTTTGCTTTCTTGCATACATAAATTTTTTGCGTTTTGCAGGTTATTTGTGGAGAAATTGCCAAAGCACCCAGGTTACAAGGATGCACCTCCAGGTGAAGCTCTGGAATTGAAAAGGGTAATTAATTTATCTGTGAATATTTCTTTTTTTTAAAAGTGTAGTAACAAGGTGGTTTACAGTACTGAATGGCATGCCCACAGCAGCAAAGCCTACATCCTGTGGATGAACATACCAGAAATAAGTACCCTAGCTCCACAAGGGAAACCACTAGAGCATGTGGAGTACTTCCCATGTCTGGGACAGGTCATCAATGAAATAGGAGAACAGATGAGGATATCAGGGTGAGGATCCAGGAATGGAGAAAAGCCTTTGTTTTTATGCTGCATTGAAGGAGTGTGAAATCTGTTCTAGTGTTTGGAGCAGAGACCTGGAGAACAATGACAGCTGCTGAGAGAAAGCTTCAAACTTTCAACAACAAGTACTTGAAATAGATTTGGTCATTTGATGGTTTGACTTTGCTCCCATAGAGGAATTTTTAGAGAGGGCAAACAAAAGAAAGGTGGAAAAGGGAGAGACATATATAGTGAAGATGGGGATGCATCAGAGGTTAAGACAGCTCTTGACAATAAATAAAAGATGCTCAGAAGGAGTCCCCAGGGTTAGAGGAAAAGAGGAATGCAAAGAACAACGTGACAGAGAAAGATGAAAGCAGATACTTTGAAACTGGGCAAAATTTGAACGCAACTAGAGAAAGATACAAGTACAAAACAAACGTCTTCGAACAAAAATGGTAGATCACCTGTACTCTCCAGGGAATTAAAGACAAGAGGTATATACTGTGGAATAAAGGAGACTGTACAACTTAATACTTTGCCCAGGCTTTTATCAAATTATTAGCTTATTGCAAAGCCTGCCTCATTAATCCGTTGGTAATTCACGTATAAGACATGTGAGTAAAAATTCTTCTTCTGCATATTATTTGTCTTTCCCCTCTTTGAATTTGTAGAATTAATCTGGTACCAATCGGTTGTCTGCTTTAGGCATTGGCAGTCAAAAGGGGTTTTTGGGACAAATATCACATTTTAATTTTGATTCTGTAAGATTTCTATTTCTGTAAATTGTGAAAAATTTAAGAAATATTTTCCCTGTCGTAAAAAATATGAAGGAGTCATTTTGTTTTATGGTACTGATAGCATACGCTTGCACTAAACATAGCCATGGGTTTTAGTTGTTGTATTGTTGAGTGGAGGTAAAGTTATGATCCAGCAGCATCCACGGTATCTGAGCAGCAATATTAGAACAGCACTGCTCACCCAACAAGGGGAAGAGGCTAGTAAAGGTGCCCTAAAGAAAGCTC